ATAAGCTAGAAAGATAGGGTAGATGTAAATGTATGGTACCTCTATGCATCCTAAAGATATTCCTGTGCCAATTCTCTGCATATGTTGAAGCCATTGGGCTTGGGGCTTTCTTGCTCGTTATAGCATTGCATGTGGTTAGACCTTCATACCAGACCCAGAAATGTGGCTGTGCTTCAGGATTGTCTTGTACTGCTGCTCACCATATCAGCAAGAAGCCACCCTGCTGACTTCCTGCTATTCTGTGACCCAGGGTCTGAGGCTTCCCAGTTAATTTTCAGGGCTGCCAATCTGGATGGCTGAGTGAGAATCCCCGGGATGCTGTCCCTGTGAGCCCCACTCCTCCTCTGGCGCGGGGCCAGCCCCCAGCCTGTTGGATGATGAGGCACCTCACTAACTGATTCCCCTGACAGGTGGTGCTCCAGGGTCTGAGGCTTCCCAGTTAATTTTCAGGGCTGCCAATCTGGATGGCTGAGTGAGAATCCCTGGGATGCTGTCCCTGTGAGCCCCACTCCTCCTCTGGCCTGGGGCCAGCCCCCAGCCTGTTGGATGATGAGGCACCTCACTAACTGATTCCCCTGACAGGTGGTGCTCCAGGCCTGGGAACTGGGAACGATAATGGATGTAGATCCAGCTTCCAAACCATGCTCTTGACAACTTCAATTGCTTTTTGACTGATTGTATTTAGCTTTTGGTTTGTAAAGTGACCACAGAAGAGCTTATAGTAGGAAGGGGAGCTGTTGATCTAGGAGACAAGTGCCAACTCATTCATTTTCATTTTGTTTCGGTTTATTGACATTATAGTCTTTCTTTCTTTCTTTCTTTTTCAGGAATCTTTATAAACCATCCATCTGATAGAAAAAGATTGACTTAGCTAAATCTATGTAATGAATCCACTGCCCATTCAACAGTCCCCCATGAGTCTGCCCCTTGGGAAGCCACTGCCTAGCTATGCCGTAAAGTTTGCCCCCATCCCCTAAGGTACTCACACTGGAAACATGAGTTGATAACTTTTCCATGACAACTCTACCAGATATAGGACATCTTAAATTATATTATGAAAAAACTGGCATTGTTGGAAAATTACTTTCTAGTGTTTGACCTAGTAAGTTAAAACTTTACCACTAGATTGGACTTTTGTTACCTTATACTAAACCCGAGTCACTGCCATCGAATTAGTGCTGACTCATAGTGACCCTACAGGACAGGACAGAACTACCCCTGTGAGATTCTGGGATGGTGACTCTGGAGTGGCTGTTGGTTTTGAACTATTGGCCTTGTAGTTATCAGGCCAACTCGTATCTACTATGCCACCAGGGTTCCTTACAATTACTCTTTTAAATATATATATATTTTTGTACTCTTTTTTGCTTTGAATTCAAACATTAAAACAGTATATATTGAGTGTTGACTTAATTTATTTTTTCTGTTTTTAACCCCTTATTATCTCTTTACACAAGTGTTTCTTTAGCTTTGGAAAACTTATAAAAATGTTATCCTTGATTAAAGCTTGTGAGGGTTTTTTGTTTTTCCTTATGAGTAGATAGTTCTTCTGGTTTATAACTTCTATGTATCTATATTTTCACTCCTCTTTTCTCTCCTCCTGCCTTAGTCCTATCTGTTAAGATTTTGCAAAATGAAATGTGTCCTATCAGAGATTCATGTCAATATCTGACAGAATCTTTAGCCCTAAATGAAAGGAGAAGTTAATTTAAAAGTTTACATTTATCCATTTTATTTGAGTGATTCAGATACCACACAGCCTAGAGGGTAGTTGGGTCTTTGAGGTGAAAGTCAGAATTAGAGGCAGACTCAGCCACACCACATATCTGTTTTGCTAAAGAGTATCCTAACCTTATTAGGGGTAACAATCAGGGCTAGTTGCTTTAGCCTCCTCATTCTTTTCCAGGCTAATTAGCCACTGAGTATGAGTGACTAATGAGCCCTTCATGTCAGGCTCCTGTCCTGATCTGCCTCCCTAATCCAGCATACTTCCTAGGGCTGCAAATGGGATCCCGGAGTTGACCTGGGAAAGCATTGTGGGCTGCTTGCTAGGCCGCTTACGACAAGATCAACAGTTGAAAACCACCGGTTGCTCTGTGGGAGAGAGATGAGGCTCTCTGTTCGTGGAAAGCGTTCTAGCTTGGGAAACTGTAAGGAGTTCCTCTCTGCCCCGTTGTTGTTGATGGGTGCCATGGATGCATCCCCAACTCATAGAGACCCTCCAAACAACAGGGCAACACACTGCCCACGTCCTATGCCCTCCTCACCATCGTTCCCATGCCTGCGCCACTGTTGAAGCCACTGTGTCCATCCACCTTATTGCAGGCTTTCCTCTGTTTTGCTGCCTCCTACTTTATCAAGCATGATGTCCTTCTCTAGGAGCTACTAATTTCTCTAGGAAATACTAATTTCCTGACAATATGTCCAAAGTATGTAAGACAAAGTCGTTCCATTGTTGCCTCTAAGGAGCGACCTGGCCATACTTCTTCGAAGACAGATTTGTTTGTTCTTTTGGCAGTCTGTGGTATTTTCAACATTCTTTGCCAGCACCACAATTCAAATACATCGATTCTTCTTTGGTTTTCCTTATTCAATCATCAACTGTCACATGAACACGAGGCAACTGAAAACACGATGGCTTAGGTCAGAAACACCTTAGTCCTTAAAGTGGCATCCTTGCTTTTCAACACCCTGAAGAGGGCTTGTGCAGCAGATTGACCTCAGGCAATGCATCCTTTGATCCCTTGACTGCTGCTTCACGAGTGTTGATTATGGATCCGAGCACGAAAAAATCCTTGACAACGTCAGCCTTTTCTCAGTTTATCATGATGTTTGCTTTGGGCCCAGTTGTGAGAATTGTAATCTTATATTGAGTCATAATTCACACTGAAGGTTACATCGTTGATCTTCATCAGCAGGTGCTTCAAGTCCTTCTCACTTTCAGCAAGTGAGGTGGTGAGACCTGCGTATTGCAGGTTGTTCATAACCTGCCTCTGATCCTGATGCTGCATTCTTCTTCATATCAACCAGATTCTCTGATGATTTGCTTCGCACGCAGGTGGACTATGGTGAGAGGATACACCCGTAACACACACGTTTATTTTGCCCTAGAGCAGGGGTGTCAAACTGGTGGCCTCTGGGCCGCATGCAGCGCCAAGGTAATTTTTTTGTGGCCCACGATGCTCTGAAATAAAATGTAACAAGGGAATTGTGTGTATGATTGCCTCAATCTCCCCTAAGCACTTTTTTCTTCGTAACAATTTTTTTCTAGTTTCATTTTATTTCGGGATCATGATGCGTCAAAATCAGCCCAATCGCAGTGGGTGGGTGGGTTGTCAATTTGATAGCCTCTAGTTAGTTCTTTTATTACTAGTATTAATCATTTTATTGGGGGGGCTCTTACAAATCTTATAGCAATCCATCATTCAGTTGTAATAAGCACCCTTTTACAAATGTTGCCATCATAGCTAGTTCTTTTACAAGAGCATAATGTTCCAGGAAAACGATTTTTACTAACTGATACCAATGATTTAGTTTAAAAACATTTGGTTTGAAAATGACTTTAAAGATCATTTAAAAATTGTTTGTATTTGGCCCCAATTAAGCCAGTAAGTCTGATTTCTATGATAATTTAAAGTTCCCTTCCTTCCCTTCCTTCCCTTCCTCCCCCCTTCTTTTTGTTAAAGATGCATCTGTTGATCAGAACAACCTCTAGCGGTAGCGGGCATCCTCTATTTCTTCTGGCTCTCCTTCTTCCTGTTTCCCGAGGCAAATAGAAACCAATGGTCGTACCTTAGGTTGCCTCGTACATGCTTTTAAAATGGCACACACTGCCCATAGAACCAGGAGGTGGACTCAAGAATTTAAAGAAAATATTAGGTCGACTGGATAGGCCGATAGAACTATAACCTTAAACCTTTGAACCAAGAAAGTATCGTGTACATAAGTAGTTATAAGTAGTATCAATAAGTTGCTGCCTCATAAGTTTCTGACTGTTTAAAAACAATAATGATATTATATAACTGTGTTCTCCAACTTGCCCTCTCCTCCCCTCTTCTGGGGCACACCTTAGTGAAACGAGTAGAGTTGAGTCACCATTACACTTAGTCCAATCCAATTTAACTATCATCATAGCCAAACTTGACTGCTTAGTTTTCCCCTGCCACACCTAGTAACCACTAATAACTATTGGTTTCTATATATTTACTTAGTCTCATCATTTTATGGAAGTGAAACTATGCAATATTGCTCTTCCGTGTTTGACCTTTTTGCAAAATATAACGCCCTGGAGGTTCATCCAGGTTGAAGCATGTATCGCGTGAAAAGGGCTGGCGTTGTTGCTCCTCTTGGACTGGTTAGAACTTTTGATTAGCAACGAGCGGTCTTGTTTTCAGCTCTTTAATTTTTCATCCGCTATTCTTTGTTAACTGGAATATTTATTTGCTTTTAGTAGGGATTTCCCCCCCGGTCCATACGTGGCTTATATTCTTGTATACGGGTTTGCTTGTTATGTAGTTCTCCATGCTTGCTTTGATGGCATAGATCTTACTCCTTTTTCTTGGCACAGCTTTCTCTATTCCATCTGCTGAGTACAGTGTCTTGAACAGAGCGGAATTTCCAGAGGTGTGTGGTGATGTTACTGCCGGTTCTGCCTTACTGCATCCTATTAGAACCCAAACAGTTAAGATAGAGATAAAAGCCGCATCCCTGATAGCCTAGGAACTATTGAAAAGGCAAAGGGGAGCTCAGAAATGTTGGAGTTGGTTGATGTGTGGTTGATGAGGACATTTTTATTCTTGTTCTTGCTTCAATCATTTTTGTTGAGCTCATCCCTTTAAGAAATACTGATCTTCTCTGTAATTTGATTTCTATTTCCCTTCCAGACACGTTGGAATTAATAAGGATGTTCAAGGACTGTGAAATGTACCATTACAGTTTTAGGATTTTTGTTTTATTTCTTATCTTCTAACTGAATCTTCTCTCTCTTTTTTCCCCTGTAGGTTAAGATCTTTGGTTAAGCTGTTAGAGAGAGGGGAGGCATCCGTGGTAGATCTTAAGAAGAATCTGGAATATGCAGCCACAGTACTTGAATCTGTCTACATTGATGAAACCAGGTAAGTTAAAGACAAGGGGAGCTTACTCACCAATGATACAGTTTCCCTTACAAGGCTTTTCTGAAATTATCCCCGGTGGCAGGCCTGGGGTGGGATTCAAATCACTGTCTTGGAGTCTGGGTTTGCACAAATAAACTGGGCAAACTGAACAAGTCCCTCAGCCTGTGGATTTGTGCACCTATTAAGGGAGAGAAGAGAACCTACCTTATGGGCATATCGGCCATTGTGGCCATGAAGTGAGCTTGAGGAGAAGTGAGGGGAGGAGAGCAAGACATTTTAAAAACCTGCTGAGGTTTTACCAAATGAGTAGTTTCACTATAATTTATTGCATATTGTTAGCTCCAGCCTAAAATGTATGCTTATGTTTTAATGTATGATGTCCATCAGTAGATGGACATTCCTGAAGAGACCAAGGAGAATTTATTCACTTAAGCAGACAGTGTGTCTCCTTTTACTTATATCTGGTATGGATTTACTTGGTAGACTCATCCCACTTGAACAGGCCAAAAGCATTAAAACAGTCCTAGTTAATAGATGCATTCACAAAATTGCTTATCTTTTAAAAAAATATTGGAATGATGAATATAGAGGATTCCCTACCCCCCTAATTCCAGTAGGCTGTCAGTAGTTTTACCATCTTTTCTTTGCCAAATTCCAACCTGAAAATGTTCCGTTGTAATCTCAGGATTGTGTGCTGTCTGTTTGGTGATGTGTGGTTCCCAGTGTAAGGAAATACGATGCTCAGGTCCTTTGTGCAGATAAGTGTCCTTTCCTTCCCTGCCGCTAATTTGCCCAGAGGAAAACAAAGCAAAGGCAACAGCACTCCTGACATTGGAACTGATTTCTACTAGTAACTTTTCATCAAGGTTAATATAAATGTAAATATCATGCAGCCCTTTATTCTTACTTCTTATTATTGAATTATGTTCCTTTATAGCGAACTCCTCGGTAAACACGTTTGAAAAATCACATTTGAAATCTTTGTACTTGAAAGGAAAACTGCATTCTTTTAGAAACTGCTTGTGTTTAGACATTCACGATTCTGTAACGGTTTCTACAAACGGAAAGAACTGCAAACGACACCATTTAGGACCATTAGAGCCTGCACTGCAGGGGACCAGGTAGCTTTGTAGTCTTTAATGTCCTTTATTTACTTTTTATGTTTTTGGACAAAATAATGCCAAATAGACCCTTTATGAAAAGTGTTTGTTAAATGCAACTAGACCTCTCTATGGATGTATTTTAAAATGAAAAATTTAAGCTCCATAAATCCTTGGGTACTCCCGAGTTCAGGATCCATAGATCGGATGTATCTAACACCTCCTGACCCCCTTGCTTCTCTGTCCTCCCTGGTAAGTAGACCCATCCAGAAACAAAAGTGGTGTGTCCTCACAGGCCTTGCCACAGAGGTGTCGTCTATCACATGGCCAATGTAACGTGCTTTCTCGGGTCCTTTGCATGCAGGCGTCGTGGAGAAAAGGAGCAGCTGCTTGGGAGGGAGAGTGCTCGCTTCAGATTTAATCGCAGTTTTCTTGGTTATGTTTCTTGCATCCAGGCGGCTCCTGGATACTGAGGATGAGCTCAGTGACATCCAGTCAGATGCGGTGCCATCTGAAGTCCGAGACTGGCTGGCTTCCACCTTCACAAGGCAGATGGGGATGATGCTCCGGAGGAGCGAGGAGAAGCCTCGGTTCAAGAGCATCGTCCATGCAGTGCAGGCTGGGATATTTGTGGAGAGGTAAAGATGGCGGCTGACCCATGACCAATGCAGCAAATGCAACACCAGTTTCCAGTAGCTAGAAGCTTTGCTCCAATGTCGAGTTGATGTCTTTTAAATATTGAACATTCTGGGGGAAAAATAATCTTGAATTAGGAATGGTCAAAACAAAACAAAACCAAAAACGATAAAATCTAATATTGGTTGGGTTACTACTATAGGGTTGGTGGTTCAAATCTACCAGCTAGCCCATGGGAGAAAGCTCTGGCTGTCTGTTCCTGTAAAGACTTCCTGTCTTAGGAACCCTAGAGGACAGTTCTGCTCGGTCCTCTCGAGCCACCCTGAGTTAGAACTGACTCAATGGCAAACATTATTCTATAATCCCTAATGCACAGCGCCACGTGGAGATCATCTCTCGATTGTTTGTTCCCAGTGGTTCACGTGTTCCATGTTGCTTTAGTTTCTCTTGAATTTAGCATTTAGCCCATTTGAGTAACTCTGAAGGAGGGCAGAGAGGCACTTTTCTGGTTTCTTGGGTTCCCAGAGGGCGTGACCTTGGTCTAAGTCTGTGGGCTAGAAATCCTTCTTTGTAAGAAATCACCATCTATTTTTCCCCTCTCGCTTTTCCAGAATGTATAGAAGGACATCAAACATGGTTGGACTGAGCTACCCACCGGCTGTTATTGAAGCACTGAAGGTAATGCCAAAGCAAAACAGATTTTAAAACGTACATGAAACACTATGAAAAGTACAGTTTAATGTTCCTATAAAATAAGCGACTTAGGTTCAGTTATTTCTGACTTTTTAATTGCAGTGTCGCTTTCCTGTCTGCTTTAAGCATATAAATGTCTTTTCAGCCTCACAAAGTCCAACTCTGTTTTGGTTTTCGCCTACCCTCCTGGAATAGTTTAAGGCTGAGTACATTCATCTGGTATCATGAGACCCATAGGAGGTCCAATTTGTTCTGCGTATAGGTAGCACACATCAGATGATCTTTACTGATCCTAACATTATTATCACCAACTCTCAATCCATATAATAGAAGAAAGGAAGACACACCCCGATGAAACCATATGAAAGACACTGTTTGAAGTAGAGCTTGGGTTGGACCCCAGAGTCTTGCCACAGGGTAAGCGCTCAGTAACATTTCCTTCCAGATTAGATGCCCCAGAGCCTTTGTTTCTCCCCACACAGACCCCTGTTTTCTCAAGACTCGCTGAATGAAAATATTTCCTGGGAGACGTTTGAGTTTGAATGGACTAGGCTGTGCAGAAGTATTCCAGATGAGGCAAGTTCTTGGAACTGCACGCACGATCTTTTAGTGCTCCGAAGCAGAAGCATTTCTCCAGGCTTGTCCTAGGTCGAATCCACACATCCAAACGGATCCCAGCTGTCCGTAGCCTGACATGGCTTCTGGATTTGAGGGCAGGGCGGAGCCAAGTCCCAGGATCTTCGGGCTGGTGGGTGACGCACACTGTCTACAGGTGGAGCTGGGCTACTTGCTCAGGGACAGGTTGCATTCTGGTCTTTCCTGGCGCCATTGTTCTTGCTCTCTAACACCTGGACTATCTCTTCAGAGGGCCACTGAAATTCCCTCTCCAAAGACTCAGGGGTGGGGGTGGGGGTGGGGTGAGGTTTGGGATGAATTCAATGTCAGGAAAAATCCCTTTAGGACTATTTAGTAATCTATATTTATCATCTTCTTCTCCATCTTCCCGCAAACATTTTGAAGCCTCCTCATTTATGAATAGATTTTCACTTCTCCCTCTTCTCTGTATTTTCAGAGTTGGTTTTTTTTTTTTAACTCTTATTAAGAGCAGGAAAAATACTCATAGCGAACATATACGCCTGTTGCCTCTTCAACTCCCTCTCTCATGCCCAATACATTCGAGGAGTGTCTAGTGACATTCCCCATAGTAATCTGTGATGCTTCCTAACACCCTGTAAGAAATGCCATTGCTTTTTTTGGTAATTGGAGATAAAGCATTCAGTGGCAGTCTTAGACAGATTAAAGCCACCTTTCTCTCTCTCTCTCTCTCTATCTCTCACACACACATTTCTCTTTATCATGAGCATAAATGCGGAGGGGGTTACATGTGCCAAAACATTTATGACCCGGTTTCGCCCAAATTGAAGCATCTCTTCTCTATGGAAGGACTGGAGAAAATGTGGAACAAGCTGCGATGGCCTTAAGTTGTTATTTTCTGCTTGGAGAAGAGTCCTTTGCAGATGCAAATGTGCCGCTTTAAGGGGGAAGATGCTTAGATGACCACATAAGGAAAACGCACTAACGCTCTAAATGGCTTTACTTCTCTGCGTTTATTGTGAACACTGTTATTTCTCTTGGCTCTGCCCCCTGTATCCTGGGGGTGTTCGGAATCTTTTTAGAATCCAATATTTTCCATTTGCCCAGACTTTGGTTTTATTTGCACTGGGTTGGAGGTGAGTGGGAGAGATTACAGAGAAATTCTTCTGTCCTTTTTTAATGCCGTGTCTGTTCGAAAAGGTTATTTCCTCTTCACTGCCAGCAGTTTCGGTGGATTCACTACTGTTTTCTTCTCCTGCAGAAATTTTGCCCAAAGGCTGAGAGAATATCATTTTTGCTGTTGTTTGAAACAAACTTGTATGTCACAAAAGAATCCAAATCCGTTTTACTTTTCCCCTTCTCTAGCTACTCAGACCCAGGTTTAGATCTGATGGCTAAGGAATCTGGGGCGGTTTTTAAGCCTCTGACTCTTCTGAGAGAATACAATTTAATAAAATCAGCATCATGCTACTTTCAGGTTAACTTTTGTGACTAATAGAAGAATATGGCATACGATGGTATTTAAGGGAGAAAGTAATTACCCGCAACTTATCTAGAAGTGAACTGTGTTGAATCCTTGTTCCCCTCTTTGATTAATAATCATATATAAGTTTTGGCTTTGTGTATATGGGTAGAGTCGCTGGAAGTGGAGAAATATACTGTCCTTTAGGAAGACATCAGTCATGTGACTCAGGGAGAGACCCATGTGGACAGACTAGGGTTTAGAGTGTGAGGGAAGGGCGTGATGATGCTCAGAGCATCTTCACATGGGACTCATGGGAAGTTCCAGCACTTTCTTCATTGGGATGGGCCTTGGGCAAAATTTAGCTAAAAGCAATGAAAACAGGTCCTTTAAAAAATATGCAGATGCCAGACCCTGCCTCCAAGATTCTATGGCATCTCCTGCCCTAAAAATCAGCATTGTTAATCATCATGCCAATTTGTTCTGAAGAACATTAAAAACCGAGAAGCATAGCCAGGTTTTCCTTAAATGAGAGTCAGAGACACAAAGGGTATCCTGCTCCCTCTACTGATTACTAAGTTCTAATACTCACAGTCGGAACTCTATTGATGCTGGGGGTAAGCATTGAACTGTTAATCTCAAGGTTAAGTGTTCAAACCCACCAGATGCTCCATGAAATAAAGATGAGGCTGTCAGCTTCCTTAAAGATTTGTAGTGTTGCAGAGCCTATGGGGAAATTCTATGCTGTCCTATAGGGTCTATATGAATTGGAATCTGCCTGACAGTAATGGGTAGGAATATTCAAAGTAAAATGTTTTTCAGTTTTCACTCTGGTATTTTTTATATAGTGACAGGGAACTTTTCTCTTTTTCATTCATTCTGGACACTGGGATTAAAAATAGTCAGAGAGTACAAAGTGTTTTCCAACTACTTAGTTGTCAGTGAACTTTTTCTTGGGATTCCTGGCCAGACAAGTGGTTGAGCTCATGGCAAGTGTCAATTTGTAGTCATCAACACAAAGCTTTAAGTCTTGGGTTAATCGTAAATGGCCCCGGTGTCAATGGACTGAACCCCAGTCGGATATTGAAGGGATACGCCCAGGACCACAGTGTATATCAGATAATGATTGGATTTGCCATTTAAACTGCCATCCGTGGGATCCGTTGGGGGCTGGGACATGAACCACTCCTATGGGCAGTTCCTAAAAGTCAAAGTCTCTAGCCAGAGAGTAACTCAAGTCCAGGTGGTCTCGCATGGCTTCAATCATTTTCCCCACCTGTCCGTTCAAGACATTAATTTTCTTCCATTATAGAAAGTAAGACTTTTGACACGATGAGAAATAAAATGGTTGTTACTTTCACTACATTGCTTAAAAAGGCTAGTGTTTGCCTTGCCTATAGCAGCTGGTCGGGCCTCATTAGGCAATGTTAACATTCATTTTGGAGTAGTCATGGAAGACCAAGAAGGCTTGGAATGTCAAGAATGGTTGAGGAGTTTGTTTTCTCACTTTTTTTTATAAAGTGATTTAAATGTGAGGACTAGAACTCCAGATGGGTGACTCCATACGGGTCACATTTTCCTGGTCCTTGAGATGAAGGCATTGTCCCAGGTTCGCCTCGATTTCAAACTCAAGATTAGGCAAAAGTGACGTGTTGTTTTCTCTACGCCGCACGCTTCTGGGCACTTTGACATGAGTCAGTGTCTTCCGTTGTCGACACAGAGGAAGTCAGTGGCGCCTATCAAGCGGGTGGATCAAAGTTAGAGGACGGGAGCACCAAAGGATACTTGTAGAGTTCATTAAAAACTGAAAATTAAATAGTGGCAACTGAAGGGCACAAGGAAAAGAGTCTGGGCTTAGATGTCTCTTAGACTCCCGTTCACTTTGGGGCTCTCAGCTGTGTCCCTGCTTGGTTGGCCTTTGGGACATCAGGCAACATGTCGCTTTCATTGGCTGTGGTTGGAGCCCACCTCTGGGCAGGGAGGAAGAAAGGCCCAGCCATTGGCCTCCGTAAAGGTGACAGTCAGGTACCCAGTGCTCTGCTCTGTCACACTGGGCCCCATGGGTCAGAACCCACTCTAAAGCAACAGAGCTGTTTGCTTTTTGATTTGTCTTTGCTTTTTTCTCTCTCTCTCTCTCTTCAGGTTTTCATTTTAAAAATGTGAGTCGTAATACCTACCACTTAGGGTTATCTTTAAAAAAATGACATATTTATCACTCATCACCATGCCTGGCGTACAACAGATACTGAATAAGTGGTACTGCCATCGTGTTGTGCGTCAGTCCGAACACCAGCTCATAATTGAACAGGAAGTGCTGTGTGAGATTGCCAGTGTGGGCAAGGCTCGAGAATGGGTGGGCTGTACGGTCTTGGCCTTGCTCTCGGCTCGTGAAATCCTGACCGAGGACCGCATGGCCACCCCTGCTGTGGGAAGACTAGCAGCTCTCCCAGTGACTGATGACTGGCATTCTTTCTCCGTGACTTCTCCTGCAGGATGTGGACAAGTGGTCCTTTGATGTCTTTTCCCTCAACGAGGCCAGTGGGGACCACGCACTGAAATTCATTTTCTACGAATTGCTCACGCGCTACGATCTGATCAGCCGTTTCAAGGTGAGTGGCCGGGGATCCAGGCTTCCTTTCTTCTTCTCAGTCACTATTGAAGAGCACATTTCAAACAAACCACAACAATTCATGGCACACATTTTCCCCTCCTTATGTGATGCATGGGCCACGACCAAGAGATCGTTAGTTGCCTTTCACTCTGGACAGGACACTGTGTTGGATGACCTGGGACAACTGCTGGGGGGAGCTTCTCAGTGGGGGGAGCTCTTCATGCCCACTTGCCTGTGGGTCTGATTGGCAGCAAGGAGGCTGAGAAGGCCGTGTAAAGCACAGTTTTTCTGGCAGTTCCCTTTGAAGTCTGAAAGAGCTGACTCCCTTCAGGCTCGGCCTGCAGATTTCATTTCAGTGTGATGTTGTCTCCTGTCGACCCCTGCCATCAGGGAGACAGTAATGGAGACGGAGTGTGCTTCTGCTGTCTACGGACATTTCCCCTTCCCAAACGACTTGGATCATTTAGACAGCTATGCTCATGTAGCTTCTGTGACAGGTCATTGGTATTTCCCAGCCATTCATACTTCAAATTAATTCAACTTAAAAAAAAAGCATGACTCTCCCATTGCCTAGTCCCCTCTGCTTATGAATGTCGCAGATTCTTGAGGTCAGACCAGGTTCTCCAGAGAGCCTGTGTATTCATCTGCCAGCATTTGTCAACATCTTGTCAACCATGCGGGCTTCTCTCAGCAGATGGATGATCCTGTGGAAAATCAGGTCATTTTCTGTCTAACACATTGATTTCTCTGGACACCTAGGCTCTTTATCACTTTCCGAAGGACTGAGTATTAGCGCATTTCTGACATAAACATACGCATGTTACGGCCAACCAACCAATTGCCGCTGTGTCACTTCAGGCTCAGTAGTACCCCATGTGTATCAGAGTAGAACTGGGTGCCATCGGAGTTTTTAAAATTTAATCATTTTATTGGGAGGTCTTACAGATATTACAACACTCCATAGTTCAATCACATCAAGCAGTATTGTACAATTGCCACCACAATCAGTTTCAAAGCATTTCCTCTCTCTTGAAGCCCTTGCATTTTTAATGGCCAGTTTTCCAGCCTTGATTGCCAGGGCTCTCTTTCAAGGATGCTGAGTGAATTTACATTCCTAACCTTTGGGTCAGCACCTGAATACATTAACCATTTGTACCACACAGGGACTCCTTTTATGTCAGTGGTCCTTATTTTATTTTGCTCTAAAAATTTCCTGAGAATACATTGGAGAGTGGAGACCCTCTCTTAGACCAAAGCTTTTATGAATACACATCCATCTTTCCCTGGTGTGTTAGTCCAGATAGACGAGAGAAACAAATCCAGGGAGACTCAGAGGTGGATAAGAAAGAGCTTTATTGAATATTGCAATTGAATATTGAGAAAACATCCCAGCCCAATCCAGATCAAGTCCATAAGTTCGATATTAACCCATATATCCAATGCCAGTCTATAAGTTCCTCTTCAGACTTACTCAACACCTGCAAAGATGCCAAATGCAGGGAGATCACAGACCAGTGGGTGGAAAGTCTTGTGGATCCAGTGGCAGTGGAAGCATCTCAGTGCTGGCAAGGGTCTCCACGTGACTCCTTCAGCTCCAGGGATCTAACATAGCTACATGTCTTCTCAACAGGAATGTCTTACAGGGAGTGAGTGTGTATCTCGCTTCCAGTGAGCTATTTATCTCTTAGCGCCTCCAAATAGGACAAGTTGTGATGTGATTGACAGGCTAAACTACCACCCCTGGTGTTTCGCTAGTTTCATAGCTGTCTGGAGAATAACCCAAGGAACCCAGTCTCATTGGATCTTTGTTTTGGAAAGGAAAGTGCCTTCATATCTGACTTCAGAAATGCAATAATGTTTAAAATCCACCAGTTGAACTATGGAAGACTAGGGAAACCTGGGATGGAATCTCATGACACGTTGCCATAGCAATTTCCTTCCTCTCGCTCGCTCATGTGATTGGTACACGACTTGTCTGCCAGTTTGTCGTGCTGTGGTGGGTTGCATGATCTGTGATGCTGGGAGCTGGGTCACTGGTGTTTCAAATGCCAGCAGGGTCACCCAAAGCGAACCGGTTGGAGTGGCGCTTCCAGATGAAGAGCAACGAGGAAGGACTCGGCGCTCCACTTTGGAGGAAAGACTCTGAAGACCTTTTACATAACCTGGAACTGTTGTCAGATACTGAAAGTCTAGCGAATGGAAGCAGAACTCTGTCACAAACAGTGCCTGAGGAGGGTCCCTCTGGTCGGAGGGCACTGGGAATGTGACTGAGGGGGGGCTGATTTCTCGGGGTGGAGTCAGCCATGGTAAAGTGAGTTGAGTGAAATCTGTGGAAGTGGAGCCTTGGAGATCTTCATTTGCTGATTGGGCACAACTCAAGGTAACGAGAAACAGCTGTACCAAAAAGAACTCATTGACATCCCTCCATTTCAGGAGGCGGCACATGAGCAAGAACCAGTGGTGCTGAAGGAAGCTCAAGCTGCACTGAGAGCGTTAGCGAGAAAGGGCTCCAGGAGTTGATGGGATACCAATTGAAATACTTCCACAAGCTGATGAAACCCTGGCAGCACTCACTTGTCTATGCCAGGAAAATTTAGAAAACAGCTACTGGGTCAATTGCCTGGAAGAGATCTGTATTTGTACCCATTCCAAAGAAAGGTGACTCAACAGGATGCTCAAACTATAGAAAATTACCATTGATATCGCACACAAGCAGCATTTTGCTGAAAATCATCCAACAACAGTTGTGGTGGTACATTGACAGGAACGGCCAGAGGTTCAGGCCTGATTCAAAAGAACACGAACGAGAGTTATCATTCCTGATGTCAGATGGATCTTGGCTCAAAGCAGAGAAAGATGTTTACTTAAGTTTTATTACCTATACCATGGCCTTTGACTGTGTGGACTATAATAATGATGGATTACCTGGAGAAGAATGGGAATTCCAGAACACTTTATTGTGCTCATTTAAAACTTGTAGATGTATCAAGTGGCAGTTGGGCAAACAGAAGAGGGGAATGCTACGTGGTTTAAAATCAGGAAAGGTGTGTGTCAAGGTTGTGTGCTGTCATCATATTTATTCCACCTGTATGCCGAACAACTCATCAGAGAATCTGGTTTATATGAGGAAGAATGTGGCACCAGGATCGGAGGAAGTCTTACTATCTTCGCAACCTGCAATATGCAGATGACACAACCTTGCTTTCTGAAAGTGAAGAGGACTTTAGGTACTTGGTGATTAAAGAGCAAGGATTGCAGCCTTCAGTATAGATTGCCTTGTCTTAACTCAATGTTAAGAAGACCAAGATTTTCACAACTAGCCCAATAGGTAACATCACGATAAATGGAGAAAAGGTTGAAGTTGTCAAGGATTTCATCTTGCTTGGATCCACCACCAATGCTCATGGAAGCAGTGGTCAGGAGAGCAAAGACGTGATGCGTTAGGTACATCTGCTGCACAAGACTTCACTAGAGTATTGAAACGCCAGGATGTTACTTTGAAGACTGAGGGGAAAATTACCCAAGCCGTGGTATTTTCAATTCCTTCCTCTTCATGTGAAAATTGGACATTGAATAAGGAAGACCGAAAAAGAATCAATGCATTTGAATTGTGGTGCCGAGAAGAATGTTGAAAGTGCCAGAAAACTGGTAAAAGGACAAACAAATTTTTCTTGGAAGAAATATGGTCAGAGTGCTCCTTAGCGGCAAGGGTGGCAGGACTTTGTCTTCCAGACTTTGGCCACGTTGTCAGGAGGGACTAGTTCCTGAGGAGGACGCCATGCTTGGTAAAGTGGAGGGGCTGTGAGACAGAGGAAGACGCTCCGTGAGAGAATTGACGCCGCAGCTGCAACGATGGGCTCTGTTGGGGGCACTGTTGTGCACAGGGTCACTGTGGGTCGGAGCCACCTGGATGGCACCTGATCACAGCAACAATGTGGTTGGTCGTCCCCGGAATACACACCTTCCCCTTCCCCCAGCCACGCTGGATATGTTCATCTAAAGCATGAACTTGGAAAATGACAGACATTTTGCAGTTGTTCAAATGTTCAGCTACATGAATAAAGGAAGTTGTGTGTGTGTGTGTAATGTGGATATATACATCCCACGCTCTTTCATTGCCATCAAGTTGATTCTGACCTACAGTGACCCAATAGGCCAGGGTATAACTGCCCTTGTGGGTTTCCTAGCCTTTTTAACTTTTTGGCAGAGTAGAAAGCCCCATCTTTGTCCCAAGAGGGACTAGTGGTTTCAATTACTGATGTCATAATTAGAAAACCAATGTATAACCTATTAGGCCACTAAGGGTCCTGTATATATACATACCTACACAAATATACACAAGATCTATATATACTATATACACATAGATAATATGAATATATATATATACTTGTGTGTATATGCATATATAGTTGAGGCTGAAAACCAATTATTTTGATAGGAAGTATATTTCTGATTTAATGGTAACTCCAAATAAAGACTCAAGTCTTTTATTGCTTGGTCGATTAATAAATGCATACTGTGTCATTTCTATGTAGAAAAGCAAGAGGACTCAGAGATCTTCAGTTACAATGTGACTGTGAATCATAAGCTGCCATCAGTACTAAAGGAAGTACTGGTCCCCTGAAGACAGTCCCTTCTAACAGGAGTGCTTGTAAACATCAGACATATGGAAAATAAATTAGCTCTTACTAGTATAAGGTTATATAAGGAGCAGGATGTATTAATATGCTTATTGTTTGTTAACTTATTAATTACTTACAGTCTGGAAGGTCTCATTCCACTTATATTATGTAACAAAAAAGTGACTGATTCCATAAAAAGTACTATTTCGAAGTTCCTCAAAATACCGTTCCAGCAAACACTGCTTGTTTTCTCCTGCAGCAGCTCATCTTCCTTGGAGTTAAGGAGAGAAGGGGGGATAATTTAAGGGTTCGATGAGATCAGAGAAATAACAGACAATGAGCACACTCACCAATAGCTTACTGTCCTCCATGTGCATCACAAATCATTGCTTTATATGTGAATAAAATAAAATGTCTTAAGAGGCGAATGAGGGGCATTCCCCTGGCATTCCAAACTGAGATACAAAGGACAGTTGTCAAGGAAAACTATTGCTAAACCAGGGTATTCCTGTTAGTTTTCCAAAGTATCTGATCATTTCTGCAATAATTTTTATCAGCCATGAAATTTTTAATTTCACATTTTGGTATGTTGTGATTCCAGAAGGGGGAAACGAGGGTGCCTCTTCACCTAACGTAATTTAAGTACTAGTTAATTAACCTTGCCGCTCTCTTTCAGATTCCCATTTCTGCACTTGTCTCTTTTGTGGAAGCCCTGGAAGTGGGATACAGCAAGCATAAAAACCCGTACCACAATCTGATGCATGCTGCCGACGTTACACAGACGGTCCATTACCTCCTCTATAAGACAGGAGTGGCGGTGAGTACAGAGAAGAATGCTTGGTTTACCCAGGAGATATGTCCATCTGTTTTTAGTAGAAGCTGTACCTCTTCCAATGAATGGAGCCCACATGGAGGAGCTAGTTTTGTGGACTTCTTGTTCTCTAAAATCCATCCAACCTAGTCATAGAAAATCTTAGAAAATCTATTGCCACCATCATCACCCACTACCACTGAGTCATTTATGACTGATAGTGACCCTTTAGGACAGAGTCAAACCTCTTCTTAGGGTTGTTGAGACTATAAGTCTGTAAGGGAACAGCTGGCCTCATCTTCCTACCTCAGAGGGACTGGTGGGTTTGAACCCCAGGCCGTGAGACTAGCAGTCCAATGCATGATCGACTTTGCCTTCAGGGCTTCTTTGAAGCTCCTGTTTTCAAAAACTCATGCCATGGAATCTATGCCAACTGATAAAGACTCTATAGAGGTTTCCAAGGTCGTCAATTTTTAAAGGAGCAGAGAGCCTCATCTTTCTCCTGATGAGTGACTAGTGGGTTTGAACCACTCACCTTGAGGTTAGCAGTTCAATGCTTACCCGACAGTGCCACCAGAGCTCCTTCTTAGAGTTCCCTACTGCCCTTGAACATTTCTGAAGCCTAGACCTGAAGAAATAGATATTGAGAGTGGCTTGTATCCTTCCACTTATGACTGACTAGCCTAAAGCTAATTATGTTTCTAGACGATGTGTGGCATTGTTAACCTCTCACTGTAATCACTTACAGTGAGGTTCGCACATGTTGAAACTGCATTGCGTATGCTTGGCAACCATGTTACATGAAAGTTTGCTTTTGCTTTTAAACCATCCGGTCTCTTTCAAAGGGATTGTGGTTATTTTTAAGGCGCTCCAATTGGCAGTTCAAACCCACCAGCTACTCTGTGGGAGAAAGATGTGACTCTTTTTCCACAAAGACCATACATAGCCTGGGGAAACATATGGGGCTGTTCGCCTCTGCCCCGTGAGGTCTCTATGAGTTAGACTCGACTTGAAGGAGCACACCATTTCTTTGTGGCACTTAGGTGCAGTTTCCAAAAACCTAATGATCAATAGGATTGAACTTCTAACCTTTTGAAGTTTGTGTTGGGTGTTATGGTTCAACATGGGTGTTATGGTTCAACATGGATATGTTTTGAATCTATTCTCTAACCTCTTCACGTTGGTTTATTTATATATTTGGCTTCTTTGCTATGTCTAAATAATTTTTTTGAAATAAAGCTCTTTGTGACAAAACAAAGTAAACAGGTCTCTGTGACTTTTTACTTTGAAGTCTCCTTCAAAAATAACGTCAAGATTGACATTTGTATTGTGCTGCCTATAAGCCCATATACCCTGTACACACTTGTTATCTTCTGTGCTAGATCACGTTGAAAGACATTCTAATATCTCACTGAATTAAAAATGGAATACAGTGGGAAGAGTGTGGGCTTTGGAGCTAGATATAGTTGGAAATAAATCCTGCCATAATTGCTTATTAAATTTTGTGACCTATGACAAATTGCTTAAATCTCTAAGGCAGAGTTTCCTAATTTCTAAAATGCTGGAAAATATTACACCTTGTAGAAGTGCTATGATTATTAGGAAGAAATTAAATACCCTGCTTGCTTAACAAAGGACGCTCAGCAATTAGGAATTCTTGTTATTAAAGCTTTGATTTTCCCCTAAACCTCACAGCATTTTTCAATTCTTCCTTGATGGAAGACTGTTAAAAATATTATTTAAGATTATTTTTTTGTGGAAGATTAGATGAATATATCTCTACATATTTGTTATATATATATATATATATATATATATACACACACACACACATCCAAATCATATGTGCCCATATACACTTAATTTTCTCCTTTAATTTTTAAAAATCAATCATATATTATAATCCTGTCACTAGTTTCATATAAATTTATTATTACCAAATATTTGAGCAATTGATTATTATATCATCTTATTGCTTAATAGTTCATATCCATTTGTTTGATTAATATAAATAATACTTCTGATTCATTTTCTTGCACTTAAGTGTTTTCCCATAAGAGTTTCATGTGTATACTTAAATTTTTTTCTTGTTAATGCTACTAATATTAAGCATTTTTCATCATGCCCATTACTCATTTTTGTTTTTCCTTTTTTAAATGATTCTTATCCAGATTCTTATTGAGAATTTAATAGTTTGCTAAAAGATTTTTTGAATTCTTTGTCAAAATGTGTTCTTAGTATCTAGCATGTAATAAAAATTCAGTAAATGGTTGTTATTATTATTAAATATGAGTAACAATGATTAGAATACTTTGTTATGTTAATATTTTTAGACATGTTTTCTCTTAATTTTTTTGAGCTTCTGTAGAGGATATGTAAAAAGGGAGCTTCAAAAAGTTTGTAGAAATACAGATAATGTAATTTTTTCATGAGCTTTTTGAAGCCCCTTCATATTTAGTCAGAGAATGCTCGCCCTGCTGAGTTTCCTTTCAGTTGGAATGTATCTGTCAGGAGGTCAGGATGGGCTAGGTTTTACTGAAGGACCCCCAAATCCCAAAGTCTCAGTGCCTACAAAGTAACAAAAGCCTTTTGGGGGGTTATTTTTCTTTAGTGGAAGTGGAGGCATCTGCTTTGAACGATCACTCTTTTCTCCAGTCACCATTGGTTGAGGGAGTAACTAGCTACCACCTGACCAGATATGAAGGTGCTTCAATTAAAAGAAAAACACGTCTAAAGACACTAAGTACACATTTGATGAAACCTGTTCTGCAAGTTCCAGGGCCCAATGATAGATGTGTTTTTCATTAGCCCGAAATGATTGACACTTCACGGTGATATGTAGGAAACAATGGGCACCCTGTTGTTGTAGTATTAAATTTAAAAATAATGCTGAGGAGTGGGGGGACCAGCCCCCACCCGCTGATACTACTTATTACTACTCGGAGGATTCAGTAGTGCACAATTGTACGGTTGAGATATATAAGTATTATATTAAAGTCATTGAGAGCATGAGAGATAATACAATAATACAGTCAGGCATGATACATAGCAACATTGCTCACCTCAGCCCAGCTTGGTCCACGTGGAGAGAGGGGGAAGGGAAGGAGGGGAAAGGAACAAGGGAGAGGGGAATGACCAGGGAGTGAGCAGCAAGGAGCTCAGAGTCAGAGAGAGAAGTCTTGCTGACTCACACCTATATACCTTTTGGGGGCAATCCAGCCCACTAATTACAGGTAAAGACATACGTCACAGGAAGGGGCTGCACTATAGGTTACACAGCAATGAGAGGGTGGTCTAGGGGGTGGTCTCTGGGTCTCCATAGGAACATTATCAGTAGGGTGCAAACCCCTCCTACAGGAGCCTGTCCATTGTCCCCAGAGGCAGGGAGCAGGCCCACCCCTGTGGAGGGATGAGACAGCAGTCTGGCAACTGATTGCCTTCAGGGGGGAATGCCTGCGCATCTGACCTCCCCCACATGTTGTCCCAAATAAAGTCAGGGGTATTGTTAGTAAAGAAAGGGGGTACGTTGGTTTTCATGAGCAACTACCCTTGTATGCCACTAAACAGAGTGCTATATTTATTTTGGAGAAGAAACTCTCAAGCTACACTGAAAGTAGAGTGGTTGGGCACAGGTGGTTCAATGGTACACTTCTCACCTCCAGTGCGGGAACCCTGGATTTGAATGCAAGTCAATGTACTTCATATGCAATCATCACTCGTCTGTCATTGGAGGCTGCCATTTGCTGAACAGGTTTCAGCAGCATGTCTAGACTAGTCTAGACTAGGACGACAGACCTGGAGATCACTGAGTATTTCTCAAAACCCAGTCAATGAAAAACTTATGAGCAAAGGTCCAGTTTGAAATTGACCATGGAGTTGGGACACGAGCAGGCCACATTTCATTCTGCGATGCGTGGGATTTCCATGATTTAGGGAGTGACTACACTGCAAATAACAGCAGACTTAAAGCATCAGAGCCAAGATGAATGGTCAACTTCTAAAGCAGTGCATTTAAATTTTAAACTATGCTGCTACACCACCTTTGACCTCTTATGTTTTACACCTCAGACTTCTCATGACTGTTTCAAATGATTATGGTGAAGGTCAAAATGAATGCAAAAATTCACCGGGTGCTCATCTACTCAGCGTATTTCAGAATTGGACATCCTCCTCCTTCTTCCTAGTCTGCCTTATTGTAGTAGCTCTACTGAAACCTGTCCACCACAGGTGTGCCAACAAAGCATGACTACCTGAAAGAAAGTGAAAATGTAGTCACTTATAACCTCATGGTCTGTAATGGAACACTGTCTGATATAGTACCCGAAGATGAGCTCCTCAGGCTTGTAGGTGCTAAAAATACAGCTGAGGAAGAGCTGATTTCTCAAAGGAGAGTCAATCTACTTTGACGTGGATCGAGCAACACTTTTAGGACCATCATTGCTGATGTGGCAAGACTCAAATGAGAAGAAACAGTGGCAAACATCCATTAATAATTAGAACATAGAACATACCAAGTGGAACATTGGAGGTTTTCATAAATGAAATGGAATGCATAAATTTGTCAATGTCCTAGGCAGTAGTGAGCTGAAATAGAGTGCTAGTGGCCATTTTGAATCAGACAATCATATACTCTACTACCCTGGCATGATTTAAAAAAAATGGCATCACAGTCACCTTAAAAAAAAACCCATTTCAAGATCTGTCTTGAAATACAGCACTAACAGTGACAGACTAATATATCTTCACAAGGAAGACTAATTAATATGGCTATAATTCAAATTTATGTACCCACCACCAAACCCAGAGAGGTAGAAATTGAAGATGTTTGCAAATTTTCACACTGAAATTGATTTTTTAAAATGCTATCAAGAGACATGGCAATCTCTGCTCATTCAAAGAAAGGTGATCTAATAAAATGTGAAAATTATCTGGGAAAATGTCATTTTTATCACAGAGAAGTAAAATTTTGCTGAAGATAGTATAAAAATGGTTGTAGCAGCACAGTG